GTTGAAGGCAAAAAAGACTGTTGAAGGTACATTTTCGCAACGCGAAAGTCAAATTCGCGTTGCGATTTTGATTTTCGCAACAAAAAATCGCAACGTGAATTTGACTTTCGCGTTGCGAATTCAAGGAAAACACCTTCAAAAAGATAACAGGCAACAATCTGATAAGTGATAACAATTGAATAGATCATAACAATGTTCAAACTCAAGTTACTAATGAATGTCTAACTGAAAATGTATGCATTCATACATAAAATACATATAACACAAAGTTTGCATTTAAAAATCACCTAAGTTAATAAGTCCCAAAAGGTGAAGCCGGTTGTGATTGGGATTTTGATTTCCTTTTGCTTGGCACCATATGAGCTTTGGATTTTGATGAGGATCTATATTTTGGTAGAGGAAAAGATGATTGTGATGGCACTGGTGATCCACATGTCAACCTTGTATGACCACTTTCCTTGCACCGACTACATGTCGATATCCTCTTCTCTTCACCCTTAGACGGTATACGATCGTGATTTTTTGGTCGGCCAGGCAGCCTGCTGTCCATGACTGGTGGCAAAACTGTTTGTAAGTCATTTGGTATGTCCCACTCAGAAGGATGTGGAATAGGGTAGACAATCTCGGCATAAGTCTGTCGATATACTTCTGTAGTGTAGCAATCCATAGCGTATGCGCTTGAATCATCTTGGTTTAGATGAAGAGCAACTTTTATAACATGGTCATACGGATAACCAGATGTTTGACATTTCATACAACTACATGTTTTTGCATTTAGATCGACAAGCCCATTTAAGTTATTATCCAATACTTCAAACAAAGTGTTTGAACATGGTTCAACTCTCCATGACGTTGACTTCACAACACGTTTAGTGATCTTTTTTTTCAGTCCATGGTGTAACACGACATTCCAATGTTCCTGTAAATTTAAATAAATAATACTTAGTAAAATATATGATAAGTTACGAATTTAAAGAAAAAATACTTGCATGGTTTCTTTTCTTGTAGTACTACTGTTAAATAGAGGCTCGAAAAAACTCCATTAACATAGTAATGGGTAATTTCCGGGAATGACGACTTAGAGTGTTGATTGATTCTGCACTATTAGACGTCATGAAACCATATCTTGCTCCAAGTTGATGTACTCTTGACCATATTTCAAACCCGACATCTTCTAGTGTTTGAGCACATTGAGGCAAAACACGTCTTAAACAATTTATATGCTTATTAAAATCCACTTCCCGATAAGCTTTTACAGCCTTCTAGTATGTTAATTTGTGATTTTTTATACCAGCAGACCTTGATTTTAGATTTATGTACAAATAAACACCACAAAGTCCTTGAAAAGCATTTGGGAAACACCTTCTAACAGCGTTGTCAATTGAGTTTGCCCTATCGGATATGATTGTCAGATTGCTAATAGGACCTATACAGTCCCTAAGATGCCCCATAAACTATATCCGTGAATCAGAGGTTTCAAATTTGCCAACCCCGTAAGCTATTGGCAGTATCCCATTGTTAGCATCCATGGCTACTGCTAATAAGTTTACTCCAAGGTATCGACCTTTCAAATGTGCTCCGTCAACTATAATAACTGGGCGCATGCAAGTAATAAACGAATGAATCTACAAAATAATATACACAAGAAATATAATCATTTAGATGTGAAATTCATGTAACTAACAAAAATGAGTCAACAAAATTATATTTATTTACTAACCGCAGCACCAATAGCGATAAACAGCAACTCAAAGCATCCATCTCTATCTGTTTTGATATGAGTTACCGACCAGGATTTTTCAGCTTTAAATTATGACAATAAGCCGGCAGTTGGGCAAGCGATGCTTCTGGAGACCCCCTTAACAATTCCAAGGCATAACATTTGGCTCTCCAAGCTTGAGAATATGCGATACTAATCTTGAACCGAGCATTCATGTCAGTCATAATTTCATGTCCCCGATATACTCTGCCATTCATAAACATTAACTCAGCCAGAAAACCACCCAACACCTTTTTGTTTGCCTGTCTATGGTGAGGAAAAACTTGGGTTCTTGAACATGTATGTTTATCAATAAAAGTCCTAACTTGAAACATTTCGCAATCTTTTATCCTCTTTGCAATCATACGCTACGTACAGTTTTTGTCAATCATACACTTTGTTTCAAAACGATCTTTGCTTGATTTGTTAACTTTTAGTTGATAGCCATCTTCCACACATTTCGTATACAAAGCTATCTTCAAGTCTTCCTTTGTATCAAAACAATCATATTTCTTGATACGAATAACTTTTGTATAACAATCAACTGCTATATTTACCAACTCTTCTTCCGGTATCTGAAGTAATTCTGGCATATTCCAGTTATATTCCCGTGGCATTTTCTTCTTTTTCTTTTCTTCGGGGACTTCTTCTTATTCTTCTTCTTCTTATTCAGGGTTATATGAATTACAAAATAGATGTTCAACATGTTCATTCACAGTCGTAACTTCCTCCTCATTATCATCAACAACATCTTCCTCGGCAGCGGTTGTTTCATCATCAAAATTCGGGTATTGACCAATATCAAAATCATTACACGCATGGTCTGTTTCTTCTTCTGAAACATCATCAAAATCCGAGTATTGACCAAGATCAAAGTCCGGGTATTGACCAAGATCAAATTTCGAATTCTGTTGGCTCATAATCGTTTAACTGGTCAAAACGAAAACCAGAATTTGGTGCTGAAAGTTGATTGGGATTTGGATTAGCAAAAGGTTGTGGGTTTTGAGCTTGTGTTTGGTAATGGAAATGTGGTGAAACAAAATTTTCTTGGTGATGAAATTGTGGCGGAACCATTAAATTTTGAGGTTGATAACAACGTTGTACATTGTGAGCACTATAAACTGGGGTTGAAGAACTGAGTTGATTACTACCCGCTACTGACCCAACTTCACTACTTCTAGGTTCAACAACATACAATGTAACATCATCTTGCGAAACACTAATGTAAGCAATGAATCGTTCAATATCTTCATTGTCGGTTAACAAATAAACTTTACCTTTTTTCTGATAAGATAGCCTAAATCCACTTAGAGGCTCTAAATTCAATTTATTTGCAACGCGTAACATTAGAGTTTCATAAGTTAACTTTTTTAATGACAGTTTTAGTTGAAGATTCATGGGTAAAGACACATATTGTAAAACACCATGAACATTCTCCCATAACCCTCCAAAACACAAATAATGCAAACATGATCAACATTAGATGATTTCATTCTACAAATTGTAAATTAATTTACTAAACAAACGAGCTATAAACTAGATATCAACACTAACTTAGAGAAAAAACATACCTTTATTAAGTTGATAGTTGATAATTTGGGAGAGAAATCATTGAAAAATTATATAGAAATAAAATTATGTAAAAAAAATTAGAGATGGGGAAGGATGTCGTTGGATATAGGAACGGATGTCGCTGGAGAGAGTGGTAGATGGAGATGGAATGAGTTGCGATTTAGGGATTTAGGTTATGAGTTGTTGCTGCTGCGTAGTTATATACCCAAAACATTTGTGTTGCGAAACTAAAACCTGTTGCGAAATTAAATTCGTGTTGCGAATTCGAAAATCGAGTTGCGAATTTGAAATTCAGTTGCGAATTTGAAATTCAGTGTTGCGAATTTGACTTCTGTGTTGCGAATTTGACTTTTGTGTTGTGAATTTGACTTCTGTGTTGCGAATTTGACATTTGTGTTGCGATTTACAAATTCGCGTTGCGAATTTGGAAACTGAGTTGCGAAATAGGAGTTCGCGTTGCGAATTTATTGGTCATTTTCGCAAATCCAAAAAAATTGGTTAAAATCGTATATTATAAGGCATTTTTAGTCACTGAAATTAATTTCTCTTAAAATAATAGGTTTGATTTTGGGAATTTGTTTGCTTTCTTTCTTTACTTTCGAGATTAAGGGATTAAGGGTCGAGACCAAGTACATGAACCGTTTAAGCCCTCGAACACCCTCTCCCCATCGCTTATGAAGATTGTTGGACTGCTCTACAATGGGTTGTTTCTCATAATTTTGATGGCGTTTCCGACGAGGAGCTTTGTTTATCGACTTATGCCGATTTAGGGTAATTGTTTATTTTTAAAAAATATTTTTTTGTTTATTATCACATTATAATGTTTACGCATCAGCAAAATTATCTTAGATGAGAATAGTTGACGTCCACATCAGTAGAAATTAATGATTCGGTTATTTAAAAAGACAAATATATAAATTAATGCAATTAAAAAATTTCGATGTTAAAATTGATGTGAAAATACGATAGAAGCGGAATTGATAAATTTGATATACTACACGGATAAGTGTAACCCTTAAACTTTAAATAATAATATTCGATTCAATTTTATTAAATTATACTTCATTACTTTCAGTTAAAATTATTATTATAATTTACTGACATGAAACGAATACAAAGACGATCAAAATCAACATAATATAAATAAAGTCGAATGAAAATTGGAGTGAACCTTTACATAATCAGAAATAATTATCGTAATATAAACCCACACAAAGAAGTGATATGAGAATCCGTACGCAAATTCACATATAGTGAAACTCAATTCTCGGACATAATACTCATATTTAAATGTTCAAAAGTATTTGATTTTAATTAAAATTTATTATTTATTTAACTTATAATTACTTTTATTTGTATAATAGAAAATAAATATTTTATAGTTAAATTAATGAAAAATGTAAATATTATATAATTTAGTAAAAAATAGAAAAACAATTAGTAACATTGATTAAAACTGATAAAATTCAATTTCATTTTATAATATCTATTTTAAAATCATTCTCAACCGTGATCACATTCCCAATCCTCTTAGCCCATGTTCTGCCAATTGTAATCGGGTTGTTTCTATCAGGCAGCAAACAGTTATTGATTGCTAGTTTTACATGAACATTAGGAAGCAAGCATAAGAGTGCTACGATGTGTCAATAACCTCATTAGAAAGTAAAAAGGGTCAAACTAAGAATAATATTTATTCACACGAGTACAGTACATGCTTTTAATATAGAGAAACGGTATCATAAATCGTAAGTTCAATAGGCTGACACGCATTCGGATGATCCTCGGGTACGCTGACTATACAACTTGATTCAGGCAAACGTAAATTAATCTCAAGGTAGTGTGCGATCACCCAAAAATATGGTCCAACTTGGTTTGAATCGAACCTCAACAACTTAACATGTATATGTTTCAACTGGAACGGCAGAATTCGTGGGGAGTGTAACGATAAAAAAACACTAACATACCAAAATGCACATGTTGGATCAGTCCCAAATACGATAATGAATGCCAAGGGGATAGTAACAAAAATTACTTAAAGCTCCTAAATTGATACTGTTGGTGGCTGCCAAGGTTTGAGAACAGATCATCTTCCCCTGCTGGTACGGTAGTAGAACTGAACCCAGTTTTACCAAGACCAGAGCCACTCCCCATTGCTCTCCCCATATAAAACGAAGTTGGAGGTCCTTTCTCTCTTTCATCTACATCATTCAATCCGCCGACTATTCCTACATCGGCCAGTGAAACCTTCTTGGCTGCAAGGTTTCAAACGACAATACAAAAAACAATTCAAAATACACAAATTTTATAAGCAAAAGTAGAGACTAGAGTGGGATAACTTACGAGCAGATATATTAAGATCAATTATTCCACGGCTTAGTGAATCAGCCCAAATTCCAGACTTAACCTGAAAACCATCCTTCTTTTGAGAATCTTTAGAGTCTTGTGAAGACTTTGTGCTCATGTTATTTAGGTTTCCATCATGTTTTTGTTCTTTCGAAGCTGAATCAGAATGAATCGTGAATGAACCAAAAATGTCAGATCCATCCAAATTGTTCAGTGGAACAGCAGCAAATGGATCAACAATGTTCGCATTTACTGGCTCAATGTTTGCTGCCATGGTTGGTTGCACAACAGGGTCAGCAGTTGAAAAGAGGTCAACAGTTGGAGATGCTGCAGGTGCAGTGGCAGGCTGGGAAGCAAATAAATCAACCTGTCCCTGCACAAATGAGAAAAGGGGAAGTGGATTTCAGCTCCTCGTGATTAAAAGATATGGCACAACTCCTTCATTAGCTATACAATACCTCTGTTTGATACTGACAAATTAATGAATACACAAACACAATGCATGCTCAATTAAAAGCATTTTAAGAATTCAGGTTCTGAAGTGAACCAGTGTTTTTATCTGTGCGTTTTTTTTTACATTTAAGGGAAAAAACCAGGGGGCACGCGTGTTAAAAAATGAGAAAATATGCCATTACTTCCAGTGGAACAGCAATAGGTGACTTAATAATGCTACCATTTAAGGGCTCATAGTCAGCTACCTTTACGTCTGGTTGCACAACTGGATCACTGGCAGCAAATAGGTCAACAGTTGGAGAGGCTGCAGGAGTAATGATAGGCTGGCAAGCAAATACATCAACTTGTGCCTGAGGATTTGATTCGTGAGTCACCTTGGTTGGTGCTGACACAAAAGTCGCATCAGCAAATAGATCAACATCTGCTGAATCAGTATTCATAGCAGACTTTTCCATAGGGACTGATGCTGGTGCATCAAAGAGGTCATCCATCAAACTAGGCCCAAACAGATCCACTTGATTAGAACTTCCAGCCGCAGGTTCTGTCCAAAGAATAATGAACAATGCATTTATAAAACAAATCCTACATAAAACCCATTACTGAAAAGTGGAGAGTAAGTAGCATAATTTAAACAAACCCTAGGCCTGTCGACAAAATGAACTAGCAGAAACGGGACTTATAACAGGTTTAAAATTAAGTTAGAAAGATAAAAAGAAAACCTATGAAGAAGCATTCTCAACTTAAGGAATGATTATTTTTATCTTACTAGAATTGGATATTCCCCGGGGATCAAAATCATCAAATTCATCATGATGATTATTTGAAGTGGTGCTTGCGCTTTGACTATATTTATTTGAATCACTCAACTTTGAGGAGAATTTTTTCTTCGAGTCCTTGCTGCAAACAAACATTACAATATAAGATTTTTGAAGAAATCCTAGGGCAAAGCATGAGGGGAACAGCTGCAAACAAATGAATAGGTATATCTGCGAGGGTTGCAGGTGCTATGAACTTCCATCATCTCGGTATTATGAATTGTAAAAAAAAAGGATTCATCATCTAAACCAAACGGATTAACAAAAGCATCACGATTCCTATAACCAAATATATGGCATTGCAGCAGGTAATAGAAATTATGGAGTTCATAACCAAATAAAATGGATATGCCCAAAAACTTTCTCCAACTTAAAGCTAACAATGTAAAGCCAGGTTATCAAATAACTTTCAGATAACAATGAACAGTGTAAGAAATAAACCTGCCATGAAGTCTAGACTCCTTAGAGGAATTCCCTTGGTTCTCACTTGCAGTCCCTTGATGCCTCTTCACATAGGTGTCTGTATCAGACTTTTCTTCTCCGTATCTGTTGCTTTCTTTATAACTGTCTCTATAGCTGTCACTTTCTCTTCTGCTACTTAGGCCTCCATACCTATCACCGCCACCATGGAAGCCACCACTACTATATGAGGATGCACCGGACTTATATGTTATGCCACTAGATGACAGTCCAACATACCTAAAAACAGTAACAAACACAGTTTAGTCAATGAAAGTAACATAAGCAAGCATAGAATTTCACTTCCTGAAGGAAAACTTACTTGTCACAGTTTGCGGCAGCTTTGTTCCTAGCTTCTTGTATCTTCTCTTTATTACTCAAAAGTCCCACTATAGTTTCCGCTTTCTTTCGGACATTGATTCCCATATCTTTCCCACTTGGCTCAACATATTCAAAACTTGTGAGGGACTGCAAAGTGCAAAATGAATAGAAAAAGTAGAATTTTAGAGAAATTCTAGTTTGCTCCAAAAACAGTGCAAAGAAAATTGAAGGAATTCAGACCCTTACAGAGATCTGGAAAGTATGCTCTATTATGTCATCAACCGCACGTTCAGATCCATGAGAAATCAAATACTCAATAACAGTCAATGCCTGGTAGAGAAATGGTTTCAGATGTTCAAGGAACGAAAAGCATAAGCCAACAAGGTTTTGAAGTACTTTGCAATTTCACCATATCAGATGGCTAGCCAGAATATGCATACCTTGTAAACATAGCGCCAGTCCTTTCCAGTCTCGCCCAATCTTGTCCAAAGCACATTCATAACCATCTGGAATTCAGAGCTACAAGATATGGTAGGTCGTCCAATTAGAATAAAGTGTCAGATATCTTTCAAATATCAATACCACAAGAGAGACGCAAAACAAACAGTTAAAAGAAAACATTTGTAAAAATTGACTATTACAATTTCTTTGTGGCCTGTGCTATTTCAGCCAATACAGTGCCATGAGGACCCCATGGTTCATCATCTGTAGCATCAAGTACCTGCATACATTTTCCATATAAAAAATGTAACCCGATCAAACTCAATACAGAACCTTGCATTAACTTCAAATGGAAAATAAAGTATTACCAGAAAAAAAAAAGAACGAATGTATTGTCATGCATATTGCAAAACGTTTTTATCATTTCCTACCAAGTTATGAACTAGTAAATTACATATTTTAAACACCACAATAAAGAAGGTACCAAACTACCAATTTATTCCATATCGGGTGCAACATCATAAACTTCGACCCTTTCTATTATAAGAAAAAAGGCAAAGCATGGAAGATCTAAAACGTTGAATACGACTAAAAGGGCAATTCATTTTGCACCGCTAACCACACCCCAAACTTGATGAAAGAATTTCAGCACCAACTTACAATTTTATAATCCAAAAGGTCATGTAGAATATTAACGTAAGTTACTTATGATGTCTTTCAGCTGAATCAAAAGCAATATCCTAGCAAGTAATAACTGACTTCAAATTCAGCTTCCAATAATATCATAAACCGCTGTTTCAAAGACGAATCCAGCACTTTCAGTAAATATGTTCTGATTTCTCACAATCATTTATATTTTACACTCAACCAGTGTCAATTCTTTACTTGATACAGCAAAATGTAATCTTACTCTTTCCTTAAAAAAACAAATTTAACGAATCTAATAACAACTGATCAAATCATAAGCGTATTTCTCCATGCAACAAGCATTCGAAGAAACATAAAATTGCAATTGATCTCACCTTCTGCTCGATCTCCGGAACCTTCAATACCTTTAGATTAACTTCCCTCTTTCTGAAATACCAAAAGAAAACCGATTTAAAATCAATTGATCTTTGATGAGAAACAGTAACAAAACAAACTTAGATTCTAGATTTCGAGGAACAGGGGTTAGAGCTTACATTTCGCGGACCGTCTGATCGAAGACCTTCATGAAATCCATCACCGATCTAACAAAGGAGCGATAGATTCAAACTGTCACTAGAAATGTAAGATGGATTCAGAAAGACGGCTCAGATCTGCGAGGATTTAAGACGAGGAATGTTCGATCTTGAATACTTTTGTAGAAGCGATAGATTTACTCAGCCCGTGCTTTTTGAGATTATGGTGATAAATAATTGACAAGCCACAATATATCTTCCTTTTTCTTCTATTTTCTACCTCTTTCCGTTTTTTTGTTTGTTTTATCCTTTTCAATCACGACCACCTCCATTCGATTTAAACTAGGGTAAATTATACTAGAGACCATCCAATTATAGCCCCATTTCATTTTGACCACAATTTTAAAATTATTATCAGTCAAGCCATCAAACTATTTAAATGCATTCAATTAGGCCACCCATCTATTTAAATTCATTCAATTAGGCCACCCAACTATTTAAATGTATTCAATCAGGCCACTTGTCGTTAACATTTAACGGAAGTACTGACATGGCAGTTAATAAAATTGGTATAATTATACATTTGGTCATTGTTACATATCTATTATCTCAATTTGGTCCTAAATATAATAAATTAAAATAAATTTAATCTTCGAATCAGATCATGCCACATGTCTCCACCCGATTGGAGGATTTAATTTATTTTAATTTAATATATTTAGTTTCCACCAATCAGAGAGTGACATGTGTCACCCTCAGGTGGAAAGAAAATTAAGAGTGGTAAAAGGGGCATAAAACCAGCAACCATTGGGGGAGAAGGGAGAAGCCTAACCATTAGGCTAAATTCATTTTTTAGTTTAAAGAAGACTACCTATTGTATAATAATATTAAATTCTTAACTATAAAATATATATTTTATTATTTTTTAATTTATCGAATATATATTTTTGGTTTAAAGTAAGCCAAGTTTATTATTTGAGGTAATAATATATATTTAAAATATTTTAAAATATTTAAATTTTCAACTATAAAAATATATATTTTATTTTTGCCAAAATTCATTATTTTTTAAGATCACTTTTAAATATACATTTTTAAAATTTTAAATAATCCTTTTAAATATATTTTAATATTTTTATTATTTTATACAAGTAATCACTTTTATTGTGCAGATAAGATCACACACTTGAAATTAAGGGAGAAAAAATACTAAAGGAAAAAGAGAATCAACTCAGATTTCACACCTAGGACTTTCTCGTCTACACATATAATATTGATTATTATTTTTTAAGATGTAATTTAATCATAGTATAATTATAAATAATCAGTAATAGAACTGGTTGACGAAAATATATGCTAAACAAGACAATTGTGCATAACTAATTCAAATTTCCCGAATAACTCACAAAGTCATAGAATAACAACAAATCGGTATATTTCGAGATGTTGATAGTAAAAGACATATGACGAAGTTATTATAGTCTAAGATTTCCAGGATCCATTGACTCGAAGATAAGTCTTACCCAAACCCCATCTTGAAATGGAAATGGGGAGACTGATATATCTTCCAATCTTTTTTTATTATTTTATATATTATGAACCTTAATGGAAGAACCACTAAGCAAGTTTGCTGATTGAGGAACCAACTTCAATGAAGCTCATAACTATAATTAGTGCTTATTGAGGAACCAACTTCAATGAAGCTCATAACTATAATTAGTGCTTATTGAGGAACAGGCTTGCTTTCCAATTCTAAACCACTAAGCAAATTTCAGTAAAGAAGAAGAAATATAGTACATTGATTAACCATGATAGGAAAAATTAAAGAGATAATATCCGTAAGGAAAGCACGATTCATAATGGTTCACAAAACAGAAAATTAACAAACCGCTGACCATTCTTCGGCAGCCCTAATGGGTCCTTTTCTATACAAGAGTTGCATTTCTTTTGTTCCATGAACAACATCGAAGAAAAGAGGCAGTAGCACCACAAAATACAGACTTCTCCGATCTCCCTTTCCCCGTCGTCTATTTACAGTGCCAGATAAATTCAGATGCATCATCAATATTCACAAAAACTCAGAAGAATCAAAGGGCACCGGTTTTGGTTTAACGTTCAGTAATAAAATAAAAATAGATGCCAAGTAGCCAATCCTTTCCGAAGAACCAGCTTCAGTTTACCAACTCGGATACCCATCCAACATCAGGACCCGACCCTGTTGGTTGAAGACGGCCAAGAGAATTTTCCTTGCTCAGCTTCGCATACATCCTTGCCCTTAAGACTTAAGTCTCTCCCACACTCCACTCTCTCCATCGCAGGTTCCTCTAATTCGAAAGCGTTGCATTCCCAGAAGTCACACTTGCCGAGGCTAGACCGAGTCGGTGTACGAGTTAGAGTTGAAGGAGAGCTGCAAAAGCCGGGTGGAAGTGTGGAACCACAAGGAGAACCGAATCCCGGTCCCATTTGCATTCCATGGGAACAGGCACAACTCATTTTGGCCTTACCAAGCTGCAGACTTCGCATAGAAGCAGCAAGTTCATTCACCGAATTGAATGAGCCACTGGGTGACGTAGCAGGTGATTCAGAAGATGGGGATAAAGGAGGCGAAGCCAAAATGGAAGTTGGTGAAGAACCAAACTCCTGATGGTGGCGATGGGAGAACCAACATGATCCAAATTACCTGGACCGGATCCATTTCCTATCGGGCTCTGCTGTGGTAACACCCGAAGCTGTTCCGGCGTGTGAGCAAAAAAGCAAACCCTTCTTTTACAACTGGTATCGTACTTGCAAGGTTGAGTACGATAATGAGCAGGATGGAGCAAACACTCGAAAACGCCGTGAGCGAACTCACAGGAATCGCCTCTTTTACAGCTTCCTTTGCGAAAGTCGGGGCAAGAAATTCCAGAGTAATGGAACTTCCTCGGGCCTTCTCACAGGGTGGGCGTACGGACACTCGGTCCATTAATGTGACCAAGGATCTAAAAATTTAAAAATAAGGATCTAAAAATTTTAATAATCTTTTTTTTAATGCAATGGGTATATAAAATTTCTTATTTTTTTTATTCTTTTAATATATTGAACTATATTTAATATCTAATATAAAATGATGGGGTGCATTTGGTTTTCTATCTGGTGATATGCATCCACCCCTACAAGTGACTTTTTACGATCGCACCTCTTCGCCTTGAACTCGTACATCCGAAAATGTAGGCATGAAAATACATCCACAAGTAGGTATGAATCTTCACTCATCGACATCGACTCGTTATTGTTTGACGATTGATAACGGTGGATAGAAGCGAGGTAACCGACGGGGCAAGGACTATTGAGTGCATTGCTGCAGTTAAAGTTGACTGATGAAAACCTAACCGTCGGATAATCCCATAGATCCCCCAAAGGTATTTCAATATTGCCACTTAGTCGGATTGGTTTCCGATTATTATTCTCGTACAACGTTCTCTAAGTCTAAGAAGAGCAGCGGTTCTCTTGATCATAAACTGGTTCCCCAAGCCGTAGTTGTCCGTTAATCATGGTTGAGTTAAAAAAAATTATCACCTCCCTCCATGATATGAAAATATTACTCCTTTCGGGTGAAAAGGAAATAATTAAATAGTGCTTCTCCCCCCCCCCCCACCCCCCACGTAAATGATCACTAATATTTTGGTAAGTTTCATTCCTTCCTCTTTCAAACGTCACATTTTCCCTCCATTGAATAGAATTCATCTCTCTTTGGGTCGCATCACTCGACTCTTTCAAACCTTAACCGATCAAGATGATAATTATTTATTATCCTGTTAATCTTATTTACTTTAAACTCTTGAATTTAATTTAGATACACGATTACATTTTTAAATTATTTTCTCACGTTGTTCAACTATGATTTACTAACAACGTCTTAAAGACTAGCAGCTAATTGAAAGAGCGGCGGTTTGGGCTATGAATTACGAGGTTCGTTAGAAATACTGGTTGCTAAGCCTAAAAACGGTGGTTTCGGGCTATGAATTCTGATCAACCCGTTTAGGGTTTATTTTTCAACTCTACTGGTGTTAGGTTTATTTTTGGGTATTTATTGGATAAAGAAAAAGAAGGTTGAACCTTCGACTGATATTGGGCCTTGACGCCAACATTTCTGGTTCGTTTTGAATATTCAAAATGGCATAAGCTAGCTGGAATGAGACTACAATAACATGTTTTAACATATTGAATTTGATTCGGATTAACTACAAATTATGAATATTATATGTTATAGTACATTTGAGATGCCGTGCAAATGCAAACATAGAAAGGAAAACAATGATGAATTAAACAATCTTATGAATCGAAATTCAAGATGTTTTCATGGCACATTTTATTTGGGATGATATTAGTGTGTAACAGATGATTAGCAGTCAGTTAAGTTGTTAGGGGTAGTTTTCGAATTAGTTAAAAAAGAGGTTATCGTGAAGGTCATGTGAAAATGGAATCATCAACATTTATTCACTCAAACGACCGGTACATCACTGCATAAAAAAGTTCTTAATATGTAACCGTCCAATCACGTACGAAGACAGTGTACAGTGTGGGTAATTCAATCCAATCCTCATGCTGCGCTTTGCTCTACAAGTTACGCGCTTTTCAGTCACTTTAATTTCCCTCCGCGCGTAAATTTCACTCCCAATCATTTTATTAATTTTTGGCTTAAAAGCGCAAGTTTGTTTTTTTATTTTATTTTATTTTTTATTTATTGATCTCAAGAATTAGACTAGGTTTACGCCGTCGTTTTAATAATAACGCTTTGGCCAGAAGCTTGCTCAAACGTTCTTTAAGAAAAAAGGTTCGTAGGAGCCAGCTTACATGTTCACATTTGACTGGATTCAAAAAGTCAAAACTGAAAAAAAAACTACCCTAACCAATCAAGATTCCAGAAAGAGCCAAGCTCTTGTAAGCTTAACCGTTCTATATATTTCCCTCGCCTTCTTCAACCCAATAGGCAGAGAGTTAGAGGGGAAATAACTGTTTCTTTTTTCTTTTTGAATTTTTATGAATTTCGGAATTTTAGACAATCAAGATTTATAGCGAATGGTAGTAGAGTTAGTTTTTTTCATGGTGGTTTCAAGTTTCAATGGTGGTTATTCTTCCGAATCAGCGGATTTACTCGAATACTGAATGTTGACCCTTCATTCTAATGAATTTCATCAACAGCGAATGGCTCGATTACCTTCTCTTTTTCATCATTGCTTCACCTTCCTCTTCTATACTGCACTAATCTCTCATTCCTCTTCGACGCTCGATTCTGTTTTTTCGATAGTCGATCCGGATTCGGAAGTTTTTTTGTTCCATCACGATTATTCTCCTCCGGCACCTCCCCCGTCTCCTCCTCACGCTTCGTCGGTATCTTGCACTGATGACCTCGGCGGGATAGGTTCTCTGGATTCCACGTGCAAGATTGTGGCCGATTTGAACCTAACTCGTGACGTCTACATTACGGGAAAGGGTAATTTCTACATCCTCCCCGGAGTTAGATTCCATTGCCCCCTTTTGGGCTGTTCCATAACCCTAAACATCAGTGGAAACTTTTCCTTGGGCGAAGGGTCGACTATAGTAACCGGTACTTTTGTGCTCGATGCTTATAACGCTAGTTTGTTCAATGGATCGGCCGTGAACACCACAGGATGGGCGGGGGACCCACCGCCACAGACGAGCGGGACACCTCAGGGATTGGAGGGAGCGGGCGGAGGTCATGGGGGCCGCGGGGCCTCTTGCTTCGTGGAGGATGGGAAGTTACCAGAGGATGTTTGGGGCGGAGACGCATATTCATGGTCATCGTTGCGGACACCGTGGAGTTATGGGAGTAAGGGTGGGACAACGAGTAAGGAGGTGGATTACGGAGGTGGAGGTGGTGGCCGAGTGAAAATTATACTTAAAGATTTGTTGGAGATGAATGGGAGCTTGTTGGTTGATGGTGGTGATGGAGGGAGTAAAGGAGGTGGTGGATCAGGTGGTAGCATCTACATTAAAGCTCATAAAATGTAATGGTTCTCTCCCGTTAACTTTGTTTCTTGAAGTTCTTTTACTGCTGCTTTGGTTTGTTTAGTTTCCAAACTTGGATGGATATTTCGTTTTGTTGTTTGATAATCCAAAAACTGAATGTAGGAAATAAAGAGAAGGATTAATTATGAGTAGTGTATAATTAAATTCTTAAGCTACTGTTTATGTGACCCTGATAACGAAGATATTTAGGACTGTTTTGATTCGAACAAGTTAATCACTTGTTGAAAGCATTGAATATTGTTCGTTGTATGCTAGTTGTTCAATTAAGCTTGCAAGGGCATTACTTGTTGCTAACTTGTAATTATAAATGCTCTGCTACTTTTCCATTAATGAAACACTCCCTCAAATCCACTCTTCTTTGTTTTTGATCGAAGTTTTACTTCATCTGAGGTACTACGGGCTATATTCATTGCAAACATCTAATGGCTGAGGATATAAATGCTTTTGGGTTTGTAAAATGCATTCATTGCAAACATCTAATGGCTGAGGATATAAATGCTTTTGGGTTTGTAAAATGCATCTTCAATTAGTTAATATGGAGAGCTTGAAGCTTTCTCCATTCACACAGCACATTGTTTTAATTTTTAAACCCATTTGTTAGTTGTAGAATGAGATTTAGTTCCAATTATCATTTGTGCTCCATTTAGGCTATGCCTATGAATCCTATCTTATGTATGCTTAGCACTGTCATGTTCTTATGCTTTATGTGACGCTATTCTGAAAATAACTTTCTGATTTTCATTAGTAACTTGGCTCTCTTATAATAATAGCTATGGGTTAAAAGTCACTATATTACCTGGGTACGATTAAGGTTTTAATGTTATAGTGTCTTGTTTTTATGTGAAGAGCAGGACTGGAAGTGGCCGTATAAGTGCTTGTGGAGGTAATGGTTTTGGGGGCGGGGGTGGTGGAAGAGTTTCTGTTGATATTTTCGGCAGGCATGATGAACCACAAATTTATGTGCATGGTAAGATTTCTCCTGTTATGCCATCATAGGAAGAAGTTCAGTATTTTTTTAAGATTGGGAAATTAAAGCTTTCCATTACAATGTCTTTTATGTGGATGCTTGATTGCTTTCATGTTACAAAAAAGGAGGGACAGTTTTCCCAACCAACAATAGAAATGCCTTTTGATGATGACATAAATCAACAACTTTCATTATGAGTGAACTATTGTTGGATGATAAACTTGGAAAATGCTCATCTTTCATTATTTTGTGTAATTACCTTTTTTCTAATCCCTCTTACCTCATTTATGTGACTGCTTGGTGATCTATTGTTTATCATCTTGCAGGAGGAATTAGTCATGGTTGCCCAGAGAATGCTGGTGCTGCTGGAACCCTTTATGATGCTCTGCCCCGAAGTCTTACTGTTAACAACCATAATTTGACATCATTTACAGAAACACTTTTTCTAGAGTTTCCTTATCGGCCACTTTGGACTAACGTCTATATCCGAAATTTGGCAAGGGCCACTGTTCCATTGCTTTGGAGTCGCATCCAGGTTTAAGAATTTGAAGTCTTTATTTTTGTACTGAGATATTAAAATATGTCGACAACTCTTTGCACATGATATTAGTACCTGTTTAGTTAAATGCTTCAAAGTGCTTTTTCTTTTCTTCTTTATATCTTATTTTTTTAGCAAACAAGCTAGTTGTAAGTCCTTGACTAGTTACCTTTAGTATACTTACCTTTAGTATTTGAAATTCTCTCTTTAAGGTATCATTTTCCTTGTATGAGTTGCTACACTCTTCTAGTATCTCTTTCTTCTTTTTTGTTTTATAAAATTTCAGAAGATACAGTTAGGTTTTTCTTGAGGAATCTAATTCAGCATCTGTTCCTTATATAGGTTCAAGGACAGATAAGTCTACTATCTGGGGGTGTGTTGAGCTTTGGGCTAGCACATGTTGGGTCTTCAGAGTTTGAACTAGTGGCAGAAGAACTGTTAATGAGTGATTCTGTAATCAAGGTGACTGATACTTTTCTTATGAACTTGAACAAAGAAGTCTTATTGGCGTTCTTGTCTCAGTATGTGAGACAATATTGTCCATATTTTCTATCAATTGTCTTCTAAACTCTTATTGTTGTTATATTGCTAAGTCCTTGACTAGTTTGCACAACAGAATACCCTAGTTGAAGAGGCTGATTTTATTTTAATTGGTGTTTTATCTATATGTGGTATTATTGTAGCCATGTATTTCCACTTCATTTGACACATTTTCATGTTGTTAACATGTCTTTGTGCTTCTGAATAGAAGCAGTTTGATGATTTCTAATGAAAGTATTATATAATCTGTCTTGGCCACTTTCTATTTAGTTTTGCTTCAGTTAACCCTTTGTCCCATTTTTCTTCCTTCCCTATTTGTATTATGCTGCTGATACTTAATGATCTCCTTGTTTCATTCACATCAGGTCTATGGGGCTTTACGCATGACTCTGAACATATTCTTGATGTGGAATTCTAAATTGCTAATAGATGTTAACATGTCTTTGTGCTTCTGAATTGAAGCAGTTTGATGATTTCTAATGAAAGTATTATATAATCTGTCTTGGCCACTTTCTATTTAGTTTTGCTTCAGTCAACCCTTTGTCCCATTTTTCTTCCTTCCCTATTTGTATTATGCTGCTGATACTTAATGCTCTCCTTGTTTCATTCACATCAGGTCTATGGGGCTTTACGCATGACTGTGAAAATATTCTTGATGTGGAATTCTAAATTGCTAATAGATGGTGGTGAAGATGCAACTGTTGCAACTTCATGGCTTGAGGCTAGTAATTTAGTTATTCTCAAGGTGTTTAACCCTTCCTTTGCTCTTTCTGTTGCATGATTCCTAGGATGTAAACATTCTTGACCAATTCTCCCTACCTCTTTCGTTTCATACCCAGGAATCATCAGTCATACATTCAAACGCAAATCTGGGAGTACATGGACAAGGTTTATTGAATTTGTCTGGACCCGGAGATACAATTCAAGCACAGCGTTTGGTCCTATCACTGTTTTACGGTATTAACGTAAGTAATTTTTTTGTGATCATTAATCGGTTGCACTTTAATGGTTTAGTACAGTTTTATGTGACAATGATGCTTTTCTAGTTCTCTAGTTGTAACTCATTTCAGTTTCATGCGATTTTTGATGTTATGCATGATTTGGGTTGAGAGTTCAGTAAAAAGTTCAGTTATGGAAGCCATTTTTGGATGGAAGTGTTACTGTTGGTTTAACTGCTGTACTGTTCTTTTCGTTGGAGGACAAGATTATTTATGTAAAGGCTTTTTTCACCCCCAAATGATTTGATCACCAAAACAGTAATATGGAAAGATGGGGCGCTCATTTATGTTGTCTCTTGTATGGTATAAATAGTTATAAATTACAGTGCCAGTTTTGATGAATCCTTGCTGCAGGGTCTATTGCTATATGCTTGGAGAATTGGCATTGATTATCTTAGATGATTAATGAATTAATTATATCTGTTTTGCATAAAGGTTGGACCTGGGTCTGTTTTACGTGGTCCCCTAGAGAATGCCTCATCTGATGCAGTGTAAGTTGTGGTTTTGGTTGTACTACGCTTGTGCTTAAAGTTTGCATTGTCTTATAACATGTCTCACTATTCTTTTTGCTTATGGCAGTGCATCAAATCTTTATTGTGAGCTCCAAGACTGCCCTGTTGAACTACTACATCCACCTGGAGATTGCAATGTGAATTCGTCTCTATCTTTTACTCTTCAGGTGTTTATTCAATATAATGGTCCAGTAATGAACTGAGGAATATGCTTTCTTCTGCTTATTTAACTGTTCACCTATTTTTTTTAGATATGCCGAGTTGAGGACATCACTATTGAAGGTCTTGTTAAGGGATCTGTTGTTCATTTCCATCGGGCAAGAACAGTTTCTGTATCGTCTTCTGGAATAATCAGTGCATCTGGGATGGGTATGTTTCTCCGTCGTTATTTAGGTTCTATTTTCTTCAATTCTCTCTATCATTTGTGCATGGACTCTAACATGTCTGTATGGTTTTATACCTTTTTAGTTTTTATCATCTATTGTTTGTGTTGATGAGAAGTAAAGACACTCGGATTAGCTTGGGAATTTGTTAAAAGTCATATCTAGATGGTCTTCTCTTTGTTCTTGTACAGGATGCACAGGTGGTGTCGGTAGAGGTAACTTTTTATACAATGGTATTGGCAGTGGTGGTGGCCATGGTGGTAAAGGGGGGCTTGGATGTTATAGTAATAGTTGTGTTGAGGGAGGTATTTCATATGGGAATTCAGAGTTGCCCTGTGAACTTGGCAGTGGAAGTGGAAACGAGAGCTTAGCTGATTCGACTGCAGGTGGTGGTGTTATAGGTAAGGCCTTTGTGTCACTTTTTTCCTCCGGCATATGTTTTTGGCTCTTGCATTTTAATTTCTGAAGATTGTGATGGTAAATCTTAGCAGTGCTAGTTTGAAAGCCATTTTTTTTACTTTGGTGTCTTTCTCTGAAATCTTTAGATGACTTGGGGAAAATTCTTAATGACCATCCTGGGAAGCTTGAACTTTACTGTGACTCATTTTTTTCTTCTTAGGATTGAAGTTTGATGATTATTTTAGATTATGATTTACAGGAGGAAATCTTGAGAAGTATTAACTCTTTGCACATGTGAACAAAATGAGGCATAGGACCATGTTTGAGTTGCTGTCTTGTCTTTAGACACTTTATTATTCTTGGTAGGAAGTATGCGGTGCGAAGGGAAAAGTTACAGTCTAATGGTTGAGCCAACAAAATAACACGGTGGAATCTCAACCATTAGATTTAAATACGTTCCATCCTCTCTACCAATCAGATTAGTAGCTATCTGAATAGCTACTGCTTTCTTTAATATAACCCTTATTTTGATGATATTACGTTTGAACAGTGTTTGGTTCCATGGAGCATCCCTTGTCAAGTTTGTATGTGGAGGGTGCAGTGAGGGCTGATGGAGAAAGTTCTGAAGGAACTGTCTGGAAGCAAGAGTATTCTGTTTCTAATGATTTGATCATAGCCCCTGGGGGTGGCTCTGGTGGTACTGTACTTTTGTTTCTGCACAAATTGACTCTTGGCAGGTCCGCTATTCTTTCAAGTGTGGGAGGATATGGTAGTCCCAAAGGGGGTGCAGGTGGAGGTGGTGGAAGGATTCATTTTCATTGGTCATACATTCCCTCCGGTGATGTATACCAGCCAATTGCTAGTGTGATGGGAGGCATCTATGCTAGGTTTGTTTCCAAAGTGATTTATTTTTCTGTATCCTAGCTTACATATGGTCTACACATTTGATAACATTTCTAGATCCATATGTTGAGCAATCAATACTCCAGGTGGTATGTGTCCACAAAATAATATTGTATAATAACTGCTAACAAGCTTTTCAACCTAGATTTTGTCTCGTTCTTTAACTACTAAATAGCTTCTTTTTTTTTTTAATTGTGGACATTGATGAATATAAATTTAATGGGCAAATAAAATAATGTAAACATTAATCAGAATCCCATTTTCTCAACCATGAAGTTTCAGGTACCAAATTTCACTGGGAAGTTTTATGCATATTATAGAAATGCAGTGGTGTAACTATAATTTGTGAACGTGTATCATTTCATCAAATAATTGGTATTTTATGTAACTGTTACATAGTGGTTTATTTTTTGGTATGGGCTTAAATTTTTTATGCTATAGTGCTTAGATCTTTTATTGGTGCCAAGAATCAAATGGTGAAGCTTTTAAGTTTTTGAACTTATGTTGGCACTTGCGTTAGTAAATATTTGATCATTATATTATGTCAGTGCTTTGAAGCACCTTGCTGGAACTAATCTATATCTTGTTCAAACTGTTATAGTATAAAATGTGTATACAACAGGTAAGCTGTTAGTTTCAGCATGATCACTGCTTAAAGGACTTCTTAGTTTTCTGTTCTCCTGAACTAGAAACTTTGTTGCTGCCTTCTAGTTTATACCCATTGTTTAATACTTGTCAAAGATGCTTCTGTATGAGTTTATCGTCTTGGTATCATAGTGATGTTTTGATTATTTTTGCAGGGGGGGACTAGGTAGACATGAGAGTGGTGATGGAGAGAATGGAACGGTGACTGGTAAACCTTGTCCAAAGGGGCTTTATGGAACATTTTGTGTTGTAAGTTAGCAATTATGTTGCATTTGAAAATTTTCATATTCTTTTCATTTAACATGGCATATGGTAGTTGGAACATTAAAATATTTCAATCACCAAATTAACATGAATTCTATATTGGACTGTCTACACTTTCTGGGAGAACTGTATCCAGTCCACTTATTTTCTGAAGTATGAGCAATTTAATATAAGCAGACTTTTTGGATGGAGTTTATTTTGTCTCATAATATGTTAACTATAGATTGGTGCTAGTCTTATCCTCCATCTCTTTCTACTAGTATGTTAAAAATTATTTCTTCATTTTGACTAATACATATTAGGTTTAATATTTTCAGTTGTTGAGCTTGTTAACTATTTCCATTGTCTAGGAATGTCCTGCTGGTACTTACAAGAATGTCAGTGGATCGGATAGTTCTCTCTGTCACCGTTGCCCTGCTTCTGAGCTTCCTCGCCGTGCCATTTATATTGCTGTACGAGGTACATTTGAAAGTTGTCTTTATGGAGTGGATTTTATCTTATATGATATTCAAATGGCATACTGTTCTTATAATGCAGTTATTTATTTTTTTCTCTCTTCAGGATTCAAGTGCTATTTAACAAAAAATTATTTTAGTTTTTTCTTCATCATAGTAAATTAATATTCAATACCTACTCCTTCGCAGGTGGTAATGTTGAAACACCTTGTCCTTATGAATGCATTTCTGACAGATATGACAGGCCACACTGTTATACAGCTCTTGAAGAGTTGATTTACACATTTGGAGGGCCTTGGTTATTTTCTCTTCTACTTGTGTGTCTTCTCATCATCTTAGCATTGGTGCTAAGTGTTGCACGGATGAAATTTGTTGGGGTTGATGAATTACCTGGCCCGACTCGCCATCAGATAGATCATTCTTTTCCATTCTTGGAGTCATTGAATGAGGTTGTATAATATTTCTATGTTGATTCTTTTTATTATTATTATTAATAATAATATTTCATACGACCCCTTTTTCTTTTGCAAATTAAACCCCCCTGTTGACATCAATTGTGCCTTTACTTTTCTTTCAGGTAATGGAAACCAACAAAGTTGAGGAGTCCCAGAGTCACGTGCACAGAATGTATTTCATGGGTCCTAATAGTTTCAGTGAACCTTGGCATCTGCCCCACACTCCTCCAGAAGAAATAAGAGAGATTGTGTGAGTATATTGCTATATTTTCTGTTGTACTGCTTTTCTTATTTCAATTTGTGATCTCCCATTGTGCTGGTATTGAATTTTATTAATATTTAATCATGATTCTTGACGTTGATCTAATGTCCTTGACCTGGCAGATATGAGGGTGCATACAACATATTTGTGGATGAGATTAATGCAATAGCTGCCTATCATTGGTGGGAAGGTGCAATCTACACCATTCTTTCTATTCTTGCTTATCCCCTTGCTTGGTCATGGCAGCAATGGCGTCGGAGAATGAAATTGCAACTGTTACGTGAGTTTGTGCGATCCGAATATGATCATTCTTGCTTACGTTCTTGCCGTTCACGGGCTCTCTACGAGGGGATTAAGGTATCTATTTACTTGGTCTAATTCATTTGCTATATATGATTTCATTTTATTTGATTTACATCTCATAGTTGTTTCAGTTCCATCTTTTTTTCTGCTTTTCTCTTCATCATTTTTTTGTAAATAACCTATTCTGACATTTCTGAGGCTGAGACGAACTCCTATGTTTTGACCTTTTGATTATTAAAAACATTTTTATGCTCTCATTCTGACGCATCTCTCTTAGAGACTGAGTAGATATGCTTCCTATTTATTGTTGTGTACAGTGTACCACCCTGATTTTCTCATTGTTTAGATTTTCTTTCTTTTTCCTGTTCAATTTACTTTATAAACATGTTCAAGTAGGCTTTGTTTCCAACAGATGAGAATTAAATTAATACATTGTGCTATATCTTACAGTTTAACTCTTTGGAATTTATGCATTCATTATATTTATTCTTTTAACAGTTTTCTAATCTTGATATGTGTTGTCAAAACGCAAATTTTAGTGTAGCTTCAAATTTGAAACTTGTTATTCGATCACTGTAGGTATCTGGAACCTCTGATTTAATGTTGGCTTTTGTGGACTTCTTCCTTGGTGGAGATGAAAAGAGAACAGACCTTCCTCGTCGATTCCCTCAAAGGTTTCCTATGGCTATTATTTTTGGAGGTGATGGAAGTTACATGGCTCCATTTTCCCTTCAAAATGATAACATAATTGCCAGTCTTATGAGTAAGGTTAGTTTTCAGATTTTAACCATGTAAATGTAATTGATGAAGGGTCGGCTTCACTGCAAATTTTAGTTATAATGAAGTTATGCTAATTATTTCTTACAGTTGGTGCCCCCTACCACTTGGTACCGACTGGTGGCTGGTTTGAATGTGCAATTACGCTTGGTTCGCCGTGGACGGCTGAGGGTAACATTTCGACCTGTCCTGCGATGGCTTGGAACACATGCTAATCCTGCTTTGAGAAGCCATGGTGTATGCATTGAACTTGCCTTGTTTCATGGTGCATCTGGTGGTCATTGCCAGTATGGACTTTTGGTGTATTCTGTTGAAGAGGAAAATGGACCTATATCCGTGGAAAATACTGCTGGAGTAGACAGAACCGACCTTTCTTCAAGGTAAAATCTGTCCATGTTTTGTGCACCATCATTTATCCGAACTTGGACATTTTAGTTTCATGTTGGTGGTGCAAAAGTAATGTTGGCATATTTTGAGCATTGTTGAATGAAAAAATAGAAATATATCCCAACACTGGGATAGGTTGACCTGTAAGGGATTTTGGACAAGAGAACAGGGAACTAAAGTTGGTAGTTATGCTTGTAATGTATGATGGAAAGAAATTTAAGTTCTTACATAAATGTCTGTGTGCAAGTGTGCATATGATGAATCGTTTGATACCTAATTATCTGAAATTTAACCTGGTTATTTTCGCATTTGCTTCAGCTTGAAGACCACATACATTCAAAATCAATCTGGTTATCCTAGAGAAGATGTGCTTTTAACCCTAGATCACCAAAGCAATGAAGGTTTTGCAAAGGAGAAGAGAAGTTATGGGGAGGTTATAGATACTAACAACTTACAAATGCTTGAAGAGAAGAGAGGGATGTTTTACCTTCTCTCTTTCTTAGTCTATAATACTAAACCTGTTGGTCACCAGGTAGCTCACAAATTTAAGATTATATTGTTTTTTATTATCAAATCTTTCTCTAACACGTTTGTTTATATGGTTGCAGGATCTTGTTGGCCTACTCATATCAATACTGCTTTTAGGAGATTTTAGCTTAGTGTTGCTTACATTCCTCCAGTTGTATTCAGTATCATCGGTGGATGTCGTTCTGGTTTTGTCTATTTTACCCCTTGGCATCCTTCTCCCGTTTCCTGTCGGCATAAATGCTTTATTCAGTCACGGGCCAAGGCGTTCTGCAGGTCTTACCCGCTTCTATGCTTTATGGAACATAACATCTTTGGTTAATGTTGTAAGTTGCTGTAACTTTTAACATGTACTCCTCCTCCAGTTTTGAAAAATCGTTATCCACAGTAACTCTAAAATATCATCGCATCTTTCACCAGGTTGTTGCATTTCTTTGTGGGTATGTTAACTATAACTGTCAGTCGTCATTGAGTAAAAGGATCCCGGCCCTCCAGCCATGGAATATTAACATGTGAGCCGATCTTTTAGCATGTGCGAATGAGATTTTGAACTGTGGTATAACCCTCCTTGCTTTTGGATGCAGGGATGAAAACGAGTGGTGGATCTTCCCTGCTGGGTTGGTTTTGTGCAAACTTTTCCAATCACAGCTTATAAACTGGCATGTTACGAATCTAGAGATTCAAGATCGCTCATTGTACAGTGATGTTTTTGAGCTTTTTTGGCAGTCATGACCCATCATACCAAACACATACTTGTTGACAAGGTTCTTTTGTTCATTTTGGTCTGCAAGTTACTTGTAAGAAGTTGGATTACTAATGCAAAGAGAAACAAAGAGGCGGGAAAAATCAGAAGAAAAATATTAGGACATAGGATGACATTGGCAAGTTCACAAGGTTTTCCCTATAATTTCAGAGTTACAATGTAAATAATCAATTGGGGTATATGCTACTAATGCTTTGAGGAATTCATTTGTGTATCTGTTTTACTCAAGTTTGCAATATTGTTTTATCTTTTCAAGCTCCTTGGGTTAATATCACAATGCAAAGTTTCAATGTCCAAGTGCATCAATGGCTCTATTAAGTGGTGGACCACCAACAAGAACATACAACGCAAATAATCATAGAATCATTAAAAATATAAAAAGAACCTAAAAAATTCTTAAAAATGAAAAAATGAAAAAGAAAAAAAAAAGCTTTACATTTTTAATGATAATAGCAATTAATTGAAGTGGGGAATAAAATGAAGAATATAATGTTTAAACTAACAAAAAGAGTAATAGAATTATCAAAGTGAAGAATTTATTATAATAAACGAATTAAAAAAGACATTAAACTAAAATGATTTTGCCTAGATCATTGTCCATAGGCCCAGGCATTCACTTTACTCAGCCCATATCCGTATGAGATAACATACACGACAGCTTTGTAGCTTAGCTTCTTTTCTAACTAGAGAAGACGCTCCTACTGCCCTCAGATCTCAAAGATGGAAAATTTGAAATAAACATCCCACGTGGCACAGTCGAGGAATTCGACCGTTGGGAATGGGGCCTCCTCCGATCCAACCCCCAATGCAAATCCATAGTTCATATTCATAACAACTCTTTTTTTTGTCAATTTTCTCTTCTTCTTCTTTTCGTTATCAATCAAATAATAAATTCCCTATCGGTGTTGTTTTTCTCATTCGGCCTTTCCCTCACTTTCCCCTCAAATTCATTTTGCTCTCTTTTTCTCTCTTTCTAAAACAATGGCGATCGCTGAGGCCAACTCTCAACAACAAGAGAAGGTTAAGATTTTCTTTCCCATTTTTGTTCTTGGGAAATTAGTTCCATTTTCCCTTTTGTTTTCCATCCTTGAAGAACCAAATGATGATCGACTTTTTAGTCTTTTTCTTTTATAGAAAAGAGTTTTGATAAAGGTTTTCGCCGTATGAATTTTTTTTAAATACCCAAATAGGATTGATTTCTAGGGTTCTAATGCCAGATTTGGGGATTTTGATAAGTCTTATGTCTGGTTTCCGTACCCTTCGGTATCTAGGATTAGCGGATTTCGAAAACTTTTGAATTGAACATTATTGATTTGTTTATCTTGCTTTGAGATTTTATACAATGTTGGGATTTTGGTATTTATATTTTAATCTGTTCATATTAAACTTTTAACAGGTTTCTTCAGAGGCTTCAGCGGGTGAAAAGAAAAGATGGACGCTGAGCGATTTTGACATTGGAAAGCCCCTTGGACGAGGAAAGTTCGGTCACGTTTATTTAGCTAGAGAAAAGAGGGTTTGTTTCTTGCACCCTTTTTTTCATGGATCCTTTTATGTGCTAATACGAGAAAAATTGAATGTTTTATTTGTGATTATTATCTGGTCATAAACTATGCAATTTCAAAGGTCAACCATTGACATATGAATTATGATATTATTATCTGTAAATCTAGTACTAGGCTGATCCATATGTACTTCTGGAACAGAGCAATCATATCGTGGCTCTCAAGGTGCTTTTTAAAAGCCAATTGCAACAATCTCAAGTTGAACATCAGCTGCGTCGCGAAGTGGAAATACAAAGTCACCTGCGTCATCCCAATATATTGAGGCTTTATGGTTATTTCTACGATCAGGTATATTGGCCTATATTGATTCTTCATTGTGTATAATTTAATTGAAATGAATTAACATTTGTTTTTACTGAATACCAATTTTTACAGAAACGTGTTTACCTGATACTGGAGTACGCAGCCAAGGGCGAACTCTACAAGGAACTGCAGAAATGTAAATACTTCAGTGAAAGACGTGCGGCTACTGTGAGTTAATTTTCTGGTTTTTTGGCCAATTGATTCTCATGATAGTTTGTAATGCTTAAACGATATACTGAAAAAAGGGGGACTAATTTGATGATTGTTTTCTATGCTTATGTTGTTGTTGCAGTATGTTGCATCTTTAGCTCGGGCACTCATTTATTGCCATGGAAAGCATGTAATACACCGAGACATCAAACCTGAGAACTTGCTAATTGGTGCACAGGTGATTCCTACTCTATAGGTTGTACTTATCATTTGGGTTTTTTTTAACATTGAAAACTTATAGTGCTCTTCTTGTCAACTGGAATTTCTTTCCAGGGTGAACTTAAGATTGCTGATTTTGGATGGTCAGTACACACATTCAACCGTAGGCGGACTATGTGCGGCACACTTGATTATCTCCCTCCTGAAATGGGTATGTATGTAGTGAATCATTAGAAACCCATTTTGTGTTCTGAAATGTAACATTTATGGGTACGAGAAACAATTTGAGTCAGACAAAATCAAAGTTTCGCCTTATTTTTTTATGTTCTCCTCAGTTGAAAGTGTAGAGCACGATGCTAGTGTAGATATCTGGAGCCTTGGTGTGTTGTGCTATGAGTTCCTTTATGGAGTCCCTCCTTTTGAGGCCAAGGAACACTCCGACACTTACCGGAGGTAAGTTTTCAGCTCAAAACTAAGAGAAAGATATGACCTTTTTTTTTTTGCCTTACTTTACCTCGTCCACAGGATTGTGCAAGTGGATCTGAAGTTCCCTCCTAAACCCATAGTTTCATCTGCAGCTAAGGACCTCATTAGTCAGGTATCATTTGTTGCCTTCATAACTTGCAATTAGCTACTTTTAATCCATATCCTGAGGATTTTAACATTACTTACAGATGCTTGTCAAGGATTCTTCAGAACGCCTGCCATTGCATAAGCTTCTTGAGCACCCATGGATTGTTCAAAATGCGGACCCATCTGGCATCTATAGAGCTTAAATCACTTCCCTTCCTCTTAATTCTTTTTTGAGAGGATGATTGGGCAAAGATTTCTGGTTTTTGCGACAGATGCATCCAAGCTTTGTACGAATAACAATATATTATAATTCCTTTGTATGCTTACATTACTATGATTTGTTGTTATGAGATGTGCAACATCTTTTTCTATTTTCCTTTTTACTCTTATTTTGGTACTAAAAAGTAGAATCCATCTTTGCTTTTTTGTTTCTTGTGTTCCTTTTGGCCCCAATGATAGCACAAAATATAACAGGAAAAGGCAAATCTATGATGCAAGAAAGTATGTTCAGCTAGATTACAACAGTACAGTAGCCTTTTCTACCCTAACCTAAGCTGATACATCCAGCGGATAATCACTCAACCCAAGTTAATTTTTCTTGGTGTGGAACTAAACCAGCAAAGCTCCTACATAAGTGAATCCTTTGCACGTGACCGTGCATATGGAGCAGGCATTTCACATGGTCGATCAGACATCGAAAATCACGCTGTCGTCTTCCTCGAATCCCTTCTTACTGTTCTTGTAACTGGAAAGGTAAGTGCCAGTGACACTGCCAAGAAGTGGAGCCATATCGATGTCGGTAATCTTTTTTTTGGCTCCCTGACCATCCTCCGGACAACAGCTACGAAGGGCATGCAATACTTCCTTCATGGAAGGCCTAGTAGAGGGAGATGCACGTGTACACATGATTCCTATCTTATACACCATTATCATGTCCTCCAAGTAAGACGATTCTCTCAACTCCGGATCAAGTATTTCAGTTATTGGCTTATCCTCTGAGAAGTGATGCCACGCCCATTCGACTAGGTTCATATTCTGATCTATGTTATTGGCTTCTCTTCCTGTCACCAACTCCAAGAGTACTACGCCAAAGCTGTAAACATCTACCTTTGCATTTACTTTCGTTGTATATGCGTACTCTGCTTTTCAAATTACAAAACTTTGCGTTAAAGTGATGGTCTGGTTTTTCTAATTCAGAAGATAGTTGATATTCAAAAAGATATATCAGTTAAGTTTTTGAGGATTTTTACCTGGGGCAAAGTAACCGAAAGATCCTGCAACTACGGACATTGTGTGAGAACCTGCATGCCTAGTTAGCATCTTAGCAAGTCCGAAATCTGCAATTTTCGCCTTGAATTCAGAGTCTAATAAAATATTGCTCGACTTCACATCGCGATGGATGATTGGTGTTGGGCACTCATGGTGCATATAGCATAGCCCTTGAGCAGCTCCAACAGCAATTCGCAACCGTGTTGGCCAATCCAAGACAGTTTGATAAACTGAGCCCGACCCTGACACTGACGACTTCTTATTCCTGTGAAGCCATCTATCAAGACTATGATTCTCCATGTACTCATATACCAGAAGCTTTGAATCTTCACTGGAAATGCAACACAATAACTTCACTATGTTGGAATGTCGAATGCTGCTTAGTATTTCAACTTCTGCCAAGAACTCTTTCTCGAGCTTGTAATCCAGTTTCTTGGTGTTCCAAATTTTCTTCACAGCAACGTACTCATTCGAAGGGTTAATGATAATTCGGTAAACTTTCCCCGATCCACCACTTCCTATGAGATTGTCATTTGTCAAACCGGACAATATTTTCCCTTCCGTGAAATCCAATCTCTGAAATGAGGTCAACTTCCATGTTGCTAGATACTGTCTGCGCTTTTTTCTCCGATAGTCTTGAACTATGAAGAAGCTCAACACAAGGATAGCTAGGGAAAAAAGGATAACGAATGGTAGAATGATGGAAATATGTCTAGAGGACAACCCCTTGGATTCATGGAGTTCGGAATTACAGTCCGACAGCCTAAGTATTGGATCATCTGCACATAGATCGGCATTGTTCAGAAAACTGTTTTCATATGCAAGGTTATCGAACTGACTCGGGATCCTCCCAACGAGTTTATTAGATGACAAGTTGAGTGAAGTCAGCCTTAGATTGCCAATTCCGAGAGGAATTTCACCGGAGAATTGGTTTTCTGATAAATCCAAGTTAAGCAGGTTAGGCAATGAACCAACTGCAGCAGGGATTTCACCAGAAAGCTTGTTATTGGAGAGATCTAATGTAGTCAACTGTCTCCACGAGATTATTTCAGATGGTAATTCACCAGAAAAATCATTACCGTTGAGAAGCAGTGTTGTAAGGCTAGAAAGAGCCGTTATCTCCTTTGGAATTCTACCTGAAAACAAATTGTTGCTAGCCTGAAAGACGACCAAATTTGTCCAAGAAGCAACAGTGGCTGGAATTTCACCGGAGAATTTGTTGTCACTAATCTCCACCCTCGACATATTCAGTGCAAGTTCACTCGGTAGTTCACCCGAAAACGAATTGTTACTTAACATCAATGTCGACAAATTGAAAGTTGTCCATAGACCTTGAGGGATCTCACCTGAGAACCTGTTGTTGTGAAGCTGAAACGTGCGTAAAGTGCGACAATTCCCAAGCGACTTTGGTACTTCACCACTGAGATTGTTTGTATGAGCAACCACTCCTTGTAGCACGCCTCCGGCACATAAATTTTCAGGCAGTTGACCACTGAATTGGTTCTGCGACACCTCAAACCCTTCAAGCTTCGAATGAAGGCCGAACTCCGGCGGCAAAACGCCGGTCAAGTTGTTCCGAAAAACACGAAAATCTCTCAGGGCAGGCAGAAAGCCAATGCTTGCTGGCAACCCTCCCGTTAACCGGTTCGAAAACAGGTTTAAGAAGTCCAGATATTGTAACTTCCCGAATTCCTCTGGAATTGAGCCAGTCAACGTATTCATCGAAAGATCGATCTCCACTAAATTCAACGCTTCAACGGGTCTGGGTATCTCACCGGACAGCTTATTGTGGTAAAGATAAACATGCGTTAGATTCAACGAAAACAGCCTACCAGGAATTGGACCTTCCAAATTATTTCCAGACAAGTCCAAGTGTTGTAAACTGGAAAGATTGTTGAAACTTTCTGGGATTTGGCCGATCAGATTTGTCCTTGTCATCCACAAGTACCTCAATTTCCTTAACTGGCCAAACCCTTGAGGTATTCTCACGGGAGAAAACTCGTTATAAGCCATACCCAAAACCTCAAGATTGGATAAGTTTCCAATTTCCTTGGGAAATGTTCCGTTGAACAGGTTCTGGTACATGTATAAAGTTTGCAAATTTGATAATCTCCCAATACTTGGTGGAATATTGCCCGAGAAATTATTGGCACCTACATCCAAGTAAACCAGGGTTGATAACCGGTCAATCTGGTCAGGAATTGAACCAACAAAATAGTTCTGAGAGAGGTCTAAGGTCTGGAGCTTTGAACAATTGTAAAGAGGCGGGAACTCTCCAGGGATATAATTGTAAGCAAGGTCGAGCAAAGTGAGATTTTTAAGACCACATATCGTCGGAGGAATTGGTACCGTGATGTTTTTGTCAGCGAGGTGAACTTCGGTGACGGAGTTGGCCGTGCAGTTGATCTCCGGCCAATCGCACGGCGAGGAAGACGAGGTCCAAGATTGAATGGACGGTGGATTGCCCAGTTGTCGTTTAAGGTCGAGAAGAACATCTCGCTCGGCATTTATGTCTTGTGACGTTACTTTGAGGGATATGGAGATGAAGAGAAGGAAGACAAAGTATAAGCATAGTTGAGACATTTTCCGGACAGTTTGTATTAACTGGAAAAGCCGAGTTAGACCTTTGGCTTGGGGAGGAGGATCGGAGGTACTCGTTGATTTGTGAGATTACTAAATTATAAAGCCTTTCCTTCCACGCTAAACCCTTTTTTTAGCCATCACTTATCCAAATATGGGGATTGTACTCGTTTAAAAAAAATGGAATAGGTTCTATTCAAACAATTATTTTAAATGTACCACGAATCAAAATGAGCTCAATGGTAAAGAAAATATTATTATTTTTTGAGGATTCGGATTTGAGTATTATAGATATCAAGAGTGAGAGCGATTAATATTGAAAGATCGAGAGTTATCTTTAAATATATATTATCATGTATTTACCTGTATTATTAAAAAAATGTAATTTCTAGAATATAAATACATTTCATATTTTCAAAATTCTTTAATATGAAATCAGGACTTATGTATGTGAAAATTTTGAAGTCACCAACCAATGAGTTTTAATGCCACCTTATAGTTTTTTATATATGACAATACAAATAAATAAATTTACGTTTACAATAATTAATTGAGAAAAATTGAGTTTTCTAAGGGCTTTCCAATTTGTTTGCTTTCAAAAATGTAATTTGGGATTTACATTTATTTATTTATTGAAATGATCATCCAGCTCAGTTGGTAGAGCACAAAGTTATTAACCTTGAGGTCATGGGATCGAGTCTCACGGAGGGCATTTCATAATTCGGAGGTCTCTTACGGAAGTTGCTCTCAACCTGGTGTTGGGGGTAGCCTAGTATCTTACCTCCCTCATACCCCATACATATGGGAAAAAAGGGACATCCATTTTATTTATTTATTTATTGTAAAATTTGGGTTGATTTTTTTAATGAAAAATGTTATGTTTTTTTCTCAACCATCAATTATCATCTCATACATTTATAGTTAGGTTTCTATTTTTCCCCCTTAAAAAAAATCAGAATGGGAGGATATCGAACTAGGGACGGACGTAGAATTTTAAATTAGAGTGTAAACTTAAATTTATAAAATTTTAGGAGATGAAAATATATTTTTAATAAAAAAATATATTAAAAAATCTAAAATACGCTATAATTTTAAATTTTTAAGAGGGTATGGCCTCTCCTACGCCCATCCCTATATGGAACTGACCAAAGGTTTATGTAGAATGCGATGATACGACAAATGTAATCGATAGGCCTCCAATTCAGAAGAGAAGAAATATTTAATGCGTCCAAACGAAATAATATAATAAAATCTGATTAAAATAATATTAACATTTTAAAAGTTAAAGATTAATTTAAAATAATAATTATAATCTGAGGACCTTTTATACACCTAGCTATTGTAGTTTTGGTTTTAACAGAGCGATCATCGTCAAATGAAGCGTGCTGTAATTCCTCAACTAATTGCAAATATTGTATGACCCCTTTTTCCTGTGCGAAAAAATGTCGGTTGAACAGTCAACCATCGTGGGCTGCTGGTTAGACAGCTTCCAGATACATAATTTTTCTTTATTCTTTTAACTTTATAAAATTATTTCTCAATACGTTATGAATTAGAGAATGAGAATTTTATTATCCAATATTTACACTTCTTCAGTACACGACAGTTTTAACCATTTATCCATCTAAATTATTTTTTATATTTGTTATAGTTATATATTTTAAATAAATTTATTCAACATTAAATTATTTTAGTAATCGATAATATGTTATAGAAAATTTTAATAGGTTAACGTATTATTTTTTTTCTAGATGGTGTAGCATCTAGAATATTCAACAAAAGGGCAAAAAGAAAAAGTAAAATGACGAGACGAGACGAGATGAGAAGGTTCGTATAATATTAAAAAACTTAATATAAATATGATATAAATACACTCATCTTTTTTTCTTTTTGAATTAAACGTTAATTCTTTAATTTTTAACAAATACGTCAACAAAGCACACATTTTGGGTTCAAAGTAAAAAAAAAACAATAGTCATTATGGACTAGAAAGTCAATTAAAAATGAAGTAAGAATTAGTATCAATTTAATGAGATCTTTATAAGTGGAAAAAGTTAAATTAAAAAATTCATTCTTATAATAAAGTTATGCAATATTTGATATGCATAAATAAATTGACAAATTAAATATCAGTAATTAAATTAGAAGAATAAGTGAAAAATTATCAATTAATATTTTAATTTATTTTATTTAATTGATGGCAACACTAATTTTGATGTTGACTGTAGGTCAGTCTGATTTACGGTTCTCAGTGGTCTTTCAATAGATTAATTTCTTTTTGTGCTTCGTTTGTCGATGTAGTCAAATTTGTTCGTATCTATTTTTCGTTCAATCCTTTGGTCGAGTTTTTAACGTTTTCATGTATGAAACTTATATGATCTAAAATGACTAGTTTTAATATTATAAAAAATATTTAATTTACGATAATAATTGTAAACTATTATTATAATTTTAAATATTTTTATTTTCTAATAACACTATGCTTCTATTAAAAAAAGTTTGTTACGTAATTTAAGTCAATCTGATTAAAGATTTTCAAAGGAGGGAAAATGGATCCAATATCTAAACGTTAGGTGGCCTGATTTAATTTTTCTTCCGTTATGGTTTACATTTCTATAAAATTTGCGAGTGCTACAACTTTTGCTATAGAGTATTAAAAGGTTTGGGAAAAGAAGAAAGAAAACTTGGAATTTGAAAGCTAACAATCCCCATCACCAGTGACGGAGCTACCTTATATTTTTTTTTTTCTCAAAAAATTATATGGATAAATCATGCTTTGCCCCCTTTTTTCTATAATTAATTATATTTTACCCCTCATTTTTATGATTAATTATATTTTGCCCCCCTTAAGTTGGAATCCTAGCTCCGTCCCTGTCCACCACCGTATTGCAATTATCTTCGCTAAAAAAGAAAATGGTTGTTCTTGAATAAGTGGATCACTTAAATTCCACCCTTCTCTGAAAACGTAGGTTTAATAACATTTTATTTCAATTGAGTAAACTGATTAAAAACGCAACGAACATGTTAACATCAATTATTTATCATTTTTGGTGAAAAGAATATTGAAAGACACTTCTGATGAAAAGTTCCAAGGCCCAAAATGTTTTTATGCCAAAAAATTGAAGCTACTTATATGATAATTGCATAATTAATTGATATATTAGAAGCAAGGCTCATAAAGTTTCTTGTCTCGCTAACTGAACAGCATTTCAAAGGGAAGAAGTCTGGGTAGTAATCTAAGTGTAAACTACTCGATCATCGGCTTAATGTAAGCGTGCTTTCAAAGCTTTTCGTTTAGATTTTTGGACAGTTCATATTTTTACATCGTTATCGCAATTCATCTTCTTCTTTCTTTTTTTCTTGGGTAAACTATGCTAGAGACCACCCAACTATAACCCATTTTCATTTTGATCATCATTTTAGAATTCTTGTCAATCAGACTACTTGCCGTTAACATTTAACGGGACTGCTGATGTGGCAGTTAATAAAATTGTTATAATTACACATTTAGTCACTATTACTTATATATTATCTCAATACGGTCTTAAATTAAGTAAATTAAAATAAATTTAATCTTTGAATCATATCATGCCACGTGTCACTAATACCAAATATCATGTTGAATTAAAATAAATCTGGTCTTATATATATTTTATAATTAAGAATTTAAGATTATACTAGAAAACAAGATATATACAATATGTAGTCTTCTTTAAACCAAAAAATGAACTTAGCCTAATGGTTGGGCTTCTCCCTTCTCCCCCAATGGTTGTTATTTCAAATCTCTTGTACCCCTTTACCACTCTTAATTATCTTTCCACAAATATATTAAATTAAAATAAATTAAATCTTCTAATTTGGCGACGACACATGGTATGATCTGATTCAAAAATTAAATTTATATTTTAATTTATTAAATTTAGGATCAAATTGAGATAATTATAAGTAATAGTGACTAAATGTATAATTATATCAATTTTATTAACTCTTTCGTTAAATGTTAACAGCAAATAACCTGACAAAAATTTAAAAATAATGGTAAAAATAAAAAGAGACTATAATCCAAACCGACCGCATTGCCCTACTTTGCCTTCAATGAGATGTACATAATAAAAGATAATCGATTATTTAGATCGCGTAAAAAAATCTTTCAATTACCATATAAATATCTTCAGTTTTTTGGCGTAAAAACGCTTTTGAAATTATGATGAAAGCTGTGAAGCAAATGATTCGAGGATGAAAATTACGAGGCCCTAAAAGAATCAATTTTGCAATTGTTGATGACAAAGGCACACAAAATTATTATTATTTCTTCATTTAAATCACCACTTTTTTTTCTATTTTAAAAGGAAATTTAAAATAAATATTTACGTACTTCAAAAATATTTCTTGACAACAACTCCGAACACTCAAATTTTAAACCAAATATATTTTAATAACACTTTTTAAAAGCAATTTCCCTAAAAACAATGCCAAAATGATCCTCAAAGTAGGTCTCAGATGCAAGAAGCGACCAAAATGGGCAGCTAACATTTCATTTGTACTCAAACGAGGGCACGGGAGGAGCATCAAAGCTCTCCAAAGCCTCAGTTTTACTTCCACCTGTTGCTGATTCCTGCTTCTTTCCACCACCAAAAAGACCTCCAAACCATGAAGATGACAAATTTGATGATGTCGACGAAGGTGAGTCCTCCCTCAAACTGCCAACTGATGCCGAGGCTTGGTTTGGCAATTGCCCCATTGGATATCCAGGCATGCCAGCTACATTCGGTGCTGGCTCCTCGATCATGATAGGCATCTGTGGCTGACTCAGGAGTTTATTCAACATGATCCCAGCTCCTTCAATCAAAGCAAGCAAAACTCCGCCAAACACTGCTGATCTTGAAGCAGTACCAAGTCCTTGACGCATCGAAAGGAACCCTCCGGTGGCAGCACCAGCTATAATCGAGTTCCATGGATCTTCTTTCTGTCGCAGGTACACCATGGTGCAATCAAATGTGGAGAAAAGACCACCCCAAACAGCAAAGCTACCGCCTACACGAGGGGCATTCATGCGCACAGCTTGAGTTCCTCCAATCAACCGAGCACCGGTTGGGGAGTTATATGTGCCTTTTATGAAGTGGAAGGCTGCACCTCCAACAGCACCCATACCAAAAGCGCCACCAATATCATCGAGAATTCGATCAGGGCATGGCTCTCGAGACGTTTCTGGGGTCCCCATCGTTCACAAAGCCTGTGTCGTTTCTATTAACAAACCCAAAGTTTCTAGCTTCCCTACGAAATTCAGCTGTCAAAAAAAAATGCTCAAATTTTCACACAATCAAGAATTATAGCAAAACAAATAACAAACTTGGATTTGTTTAGAACGATTCAGCAATTGATTGTAACAAACTAATAATACTAATCAATTTCAATGACCTGCAAAACCAAACAAAATAAACACAGAACGGCATAATAGAACACATACAGCAGAAAACAATTCCTAGGATACAGATTTACATACATGCTTTCAGTACATCCTTCTTTTCCTTGATAAGATCACCGGCTATAATATCAAACAACATAAAAAGTATAATTTTCTCAAAGAAAACGATCATAAACGAGATCCAGGCTAAAAACCCAAGGAACAAAATAAGAACATAGTAAAACCCCAGAAAAACATATATTTTCAAACCATGAAGAATCAGTCTCAACGCAACCCAGATACTATTTGGGAAAATAAAAAGTACACAACTCTATCGTAGAGCAATAATAAAACTATAGATTTTTTTACCTCAATCTTTGGAGGAAAACAGGGATTTCTAACGCATAAAAAGATTTTGGTTTGTTTCTGAAACAAACAGAGAGAAAACGGAAACAACGAGTAAACGATAAACCCTAAAAAGGCCGAACCAGGGGCGGGCAAAGGAACTTTCTTTTTGGGTATTGGGTTCTCTGGCCCTTTCTTTTAATATACGAATGGCCTGCATAAGTTTAAGGTATTCAATTTTGGTTTTTTCTTGTCGGTCTTCTTCAAAATATTTTTATGGGTAAACTACTTATTTGATCACTCATCTAATCTTATATTTCTGTTTTGGTCTCTTACGGAAGTTGCTCTGAATCTGGTGTTGGGAGTAGCCTACTATCTTACCTCCCTCTTACCCCATACATATGGGAAGAAGGGACAACCATTTTTTTAGTCCTCAAAACTTACACCTCTATCAAATTTGCTCATAATTTAAAATAAATAGGATGACCCAAAGGGGTAGTTTACCCTTAATTTTCTTATGTTTATATAAATTTTAAATAAAATATTTTTTATTAATATAGGGTGATTACAAATGATACTTTAAACCATTTGACATTAAACACTTAAATACCCTACAATCAATGGTGTTCAAATTCGAGATTGTAGGGAAAACAACCATACTTTTAGCCACTTAAGTAGTTTGATTCGTGCTTTTAAATAAAATAATTAAAACTACAAATAGAAGTTATTTGTCAAGATTGTGAGCATAATCTAAACTAGTTAGAAAAAGAAAGAGACTTTCCCCTTGCGTTTGCAGTGCTTAGGTGGTGGAATTTTAATATCTTCCTAATACGATGCAACATCGTTTAGAACAAAATCTTAAATCAAATTAGAAGCATTTCAAAAGAGATGATAATCAAGTCCCATCAAGTTCCAAACACCCAGTTGACCTCTGAAAGTACAGAATAAAAGAAGCAACATAGAAATTGAAATACATCTAAGAGAATCCATCAAAACATATTCACAAACTTATTCAATGAACATCATAGCTCATATGCCAACTTCCATGAAAATGTCTGCAAATGATAGATTCGAAGTTTCATGCCACCAGAACTTCTCCACCTGAAAGATATAACAAAATCCTCCCTCCCTCCCTCATAAAGTGACCTTCAAATATGAACTGCAGGATCCAATGGGGCCTTTTCTTTCTCATTTCTACAAACTGAGAGCATCCAAATTCCCCAGAGTTCTTAACAAAATGATCAATAGAAATGGACACTTTTCAATTTTTTAGCTTTTAATGAAGATAAAAGAAAAGGTGCAACTTACCTTGTAGAGTTGAAATTTCAGAACTCTTCAATACATGTAACCTCTTTGCAGTAGAAACAAACATGCTGCCAAATACATGAATTCCAGGATCAGAATTATTGGAACCAAAATGAAAAAAGAAAGATCAATTAACATAAATGGAAATTATGTATGTTTATAGTTTGATTCATGTTTTTTGTATTTTTGCAATTGAATAACAGATGAAGGATTCATTTGTAAGAATTCAATTTGTGTAAGCTGATGTTATAATCTAAGACCTATATGAGAGAAACAAGCTTACTTCCATGGGACATCTCCAACAAGCACCCTGTCTCCTTCATCATCTTCTTAAATTAGAGTATATTCCCCATTTCCAGCTAATGAACCTGCCCCTGCTTTGGCTAATTCCTTGATCCTGCTTTCGCTTTGGGTGGCAGATGGATCTCTTTGAGCTGATATATAATTGTAAAGCAAACCAGTCAAACTTAAGCTAACATAAACTAAGGTGTTGAGAAAAAGTAAGGAAATAACTATGGTAGAATGAATATTTAGTATTATCTGGTTTATGGACCAACCTGCAAGCAAACCACTGAACAGTTCATCTATAGCAAGTGAGAGTTCCTCATAACTGTTATAGGCACTGAGATTTATTTTCCTCCCGATAGGGATTCCTTCCATGTTGATCTTTACAAACAACTGAGTTTTGTGATTTTCTGGTTTGACTCCGGTGTCCGTCTTGTCATTTGACGTTTCAGAAGCTGGCTTCGACAAGCTGTTGCTTGCAAGATTTTTCCGGAATGATCGAACCGGAGGCCACCCAACAACTGGGGAATATGCAATTCTGCTCATTTTGAGGCTGCAAGAAGAGCTGATAAGAAATATGAACATACTCTAATTGCATCAACCAGGGGCTAAGCAATAAAACTACGTTACAAAAAACAAAATCATGGCATTTTTTAAACTCAAAATAAGCCACTGAAACATCTTTCCCATCCTGGACATACTTGAATCAAACCATGCAAACCTTGTTCAATTTTTTACATATGACGGAATATTTTCTATCCCATATCATAAAAGCTAAAGCTAAGTATCAAAAGTTTTACGGAATAACAACCTTTTATTTGAGGTATTGTTCGTCGAGGCGTCTGGATCAGCAGTAGAAAGAGTACAACGTGCTTTCCTATCAGAAAACTGAACCTCTCCCAGTGTCATCTTAGAGCTACTTGGCTGTTTAAAGTCCTCAGCCATGCCAGCAAACTTCTTGGAGACTGGTATGTTTTGGAAAAATGAAGCTTTTGAATGTTGTGGCTCCGTCTTGGCGTCTTTCTGAAAACCAGAATATATTGTAAAGCCTGAGGACCATGGAGTTGGAGTAGAATTCACTTCATCACCTGCTTTCTCTCCTATTCTTGTCTTAGCTGTTGTGTGATGGAAAGCTCTCTTTGTTCCATGAATTGTATTGCTGTTGTAGCCATGGACTTCCCCTGGAGGACCAAGCCTCAGCTCCAACTTCGTCTCCTCTGAGACTTCATGATTTACTAGCCATTCTTTGTTCATAGTATTTAGAGTCAGAAGCTGAGGATACTCCTCCGTCTTATCAGATGCCATAACAAGGGAAATGTGAAAGATAATCCTAGCTGTTTCTACTTCTATGTATATGCAAACTGCAGGAAAAATCACTACTTCTACTGCTTGGAATTCATAAGAGAAGCTAGAGGCTATTTGATAAGCCTGTCATAAGAGAACTGCAGGAAAAACAAAGTACTGAAAACAGTTTGTAGGATTAGAGAAGCCTATTTGAGTGTACCTAGAGGCTAACCAAAAACAACCCAGAAAAGCTAAGTGCTTCACCAGCATATGAATTTTGATGCCTTTTCATGGAAAAGGCAATACACGGCAACAAAACTTGGTGATATATGGCAAGCTCTTTTATATTCTGTCAAGTTTGCTCTCCTATTTTCCTCCTCAAGACTAAGTTTAGGACAGAAAAAAAAGGAAACTACACACAGAACAGAACAGTCTCTCATAATACTGATTCATGACCTAGACAAGACAACGTTGTTGTTTCTTCTGTTTTGTCAAGATTCAAGAACCTAATGCTAGCCTAGACTCTTATGATGCCTTATCCTGGGCTTTTAGGCAGATGGAATTTATTCATGGTAAGGACAGCATACATTTGTATATTTGATTAAATACATATCCTCTAATGCATTCTCCTCTGCGGTATTAAGCTGATACAACCTTATATACAATCATCCCAAAGAAGGAAGAAAATAAACCATGTGCTGTATTTCACGTCGGTTTTGTGTAACTGTACAAGTAAACGCAGTCAACTCTTTCAACGTGTAGAAAACAAGGAAATAGTTTCCAACTTTGTTGAACTGAGAAACTAGAATCCTGATAAGTTCTTGATTTAAAAGAAAACTCGAAAAGTAATAATTAAATATATTTTACAATGCCTTGTGTTTTTGTCATTATTATATTGTTGACTCTCAAACCTCTATCAAGCATGCTTTCTGCAATCCGCGTTTCATGGATGAGTGGAGACGCCTACCTTTTCTTTGATGGGTTTAACATTTTCAGACAATGAAGTTATTTTCAAATATATCAAAGCGTTCAAGTTGAGATCGGGTTGTACTCGCTTTGTGTTTATAAGGGTTACGGACATAACAGATGTTATTGAAGTAAATTGCAGTAAATATTGATATCCTAGAAAACCCGAACTGCAAAATAAAAATTATAACACCATGCTGCAGTCGCTATTTAAATGATGGTATATGTAAATTTTTATTCTTTTTCAGAGTAGGCAATGGATATGTTCAATGAATATTGAGGGAAAAAAAGAAAGAAAAAAACAAAGTTAAAAAGTCTTGACCATCATTATTATTTGCAGAACAACCAACCCTTTTGAGCTCACCATCTGTAAATGGTGGTGGAGCCCTAATATCCCAAATATGATCATCACTGCCTGACCTGATAACTCCCAACTTCACTTTAAGAGGAGCCTTTTTGGACCTTTTCTTTTTGCCCTTTTGTTTCTTCTCTTTACTTCTTTGATCTATAATTATGATTACAAGTGTGCCTGCTGCTAATTACTTGCATTCTACCAAATCCCTTCCTCTTAAATCATAATTACAACTACATCAAATATGCTTAAAACTGTTTAGTTTTTGAACCTGTAAAATTGATCGTATCTACTGTGTTAATCATATTCTACTTATGAAAAGAGTTTTGATTTGCAAAATATGAAGGCCATGACCTGATCCCTCCATTTCATTTCAATTTCGAAGTGCGGGGAATGACATTCCTCCAAACAGACCTTAAATATGGAAATTGAAATCAAGCCACTAACACTGTCAACTTTCCATAAAGTTCGACATGCGATCACTATATGTATGTGTGTGTGTGTTCCTGCCAACCCACCAAGTAACGAAAGTAGTTTCGGCCGGCGCCAGGGAAGCAACTTGATCAAAAAGGAATCTGATGTACAAATCAGCCATCTTATTATTGATATATATGCTAATTGCTAATGCTTCATTTACAAAATAAAATCTTGTTTTCATAGTACTGAAGGGGTTCTAGTGAAGGCCGGTGTGTCGTCATTTCTAGCATCCGACTTACAGGACCCCCTCATGCAGTGTGAGCATCTACAGCCTCTCTCACCATCTGAATAAAACCAGACATATCCGTTCAGTTATAAGTTATAGACATGCCAGTGTAAATATGATAATGGGTTATATAAATAATATGAGACCTGGAAGTAAATATCAAGCTTCTTCCTCAAGATTGCATGCTCTTGCCTGATTTGTTGATAACTCCTAATGCATCTATACAAAAGAAAAGGTTTTGCAAGCTCAGTTCAGTTAGGCAATGTACTAATCCGTATGTATACGATGAACACTGCGCATTCATTAGTCACCTTTTTAGCTCCAATGCTTCCAAGTAAATCGTAAGTAAATTAGCAAAACAGCTACACTGCTACTAATAAAACATCAATTCACTTTTAACTATTGATTTGGAATGTGGGTTTATAAGAGATTACCTGGAACTGCTACCCTTGAATTGCTGCATGTAATCATCCAGTTTATTGAAGTTAAAAGGCCAACTATTCCTGCATTCATGGAAACATCTGTCGCTGTAATCCTAACCATAAGGCAATTATTACAAGACCACATTTTTTATATGTCAATGTTCCCCTTACAGTGCCTGTTCGATGTTCTGAATCAATCTAGTTGAGTCAGTGAAAAACCGAGTGACAATTTCTTGTACAAAATTAGGATTGGCATCATCTTGTAACTCCTCCAGCTGGATGAATTGCTCGTCAAGATAACCCTACAACAATGCTTCAACATGCACATTTTACTTGATTTTGCTATGAAAATTAAGCATTGGAAAGAAAAAATAAAAAACTTAACTCGGCACACTATTGAGAAGCAGTGCTTGGATCAAAAATACAAGTGATATGTAGGGATTGTGTTGGATGAGTCAAGTGAGAAGGTGTAATTAGTGAAAAACAGAGCAAAGAGAATACATTTAAAGCTGGAGTGCAAATTAAACAAATAGGGTAGCAACTTTTGTTTAACCCATTCAAATTTCAAATTTCCATGGTTTAGTTATTTATTATACCGACTGTGTTGATCTGAAATTTTATTTATACACACCATATTCAAAAACATTTTATTTTTAATTTATGTATGTTCACCCTCAAAAATATTTTCGAATGACATTTGATTGCATTGCATGTTCTTGAAAAAGTCTTGAAGTGGGCTTCAAGTTAAACAAAACCCTCCAAGATATATTGTCCAGCCCATTGACTTGATTCCCAAGCATCCTAAACAAGAAATAGAGAACAAAATTCAACAAGGGGTTTCTAGTGTGGACCTATGAGAGGCTAAAGTAAAAAAAATGTGGATTAACTACACAGATGATCATATATGTTTGTGATTTGTCTATTTTTTATCACTGATTTTAAAATACATAAGATATAGTCACTTTCGTTTTTTATTTAACTAAGATATAGTCACTTTTGCTTTTATTTATTTAAGAGATGGTCACTACAAGTTAACTCCCGTTAATAGTTAACAGGACATTTTGATATAATCACACATTTGGTTCCTATTATTTAATCGAATGATGCACGTGCCACTCGTGTCATGTGTCGTGTAACGTGTCACCATTCGGTTAGAATATTAACTTTATTTTAATTTGTTTTAATTTAATATATTTATCTTCCACCAATTTGATTTGTTTTGTTATATTAAAATAAAGTTAGTCTTCTAACCAAATGATGACATATGTCACATATGACACAGCATGTGGTACCAATGACAGTGACATCTTTCGATTAGAAGATTAAATTTATTAAAAGTACCGTTACATTGAGATAATATGTAAATAACAAAGACTAAATGTATGATTATGCCAAAATATTTAATGGTAGTTAATTCGAAGCGGTCACGTCTTAATTAAATAAGAACGAATGTAACCATATCTTATATATTTTGAAATCAATGATAAAAAATAGACAAATAACAAACATAAATGATCATTCTTGTAGTTAACCCTAAAATTCTATATTTAGAAATAATGAAAACGAGAGAGAGGACCGGATCAAAGAGGGACCTTCTCATGCAAGCAACTTGGTGTTGTAGGCCATTCCTATCCATGCTCTGCTCTCGTTTCCTTTGTTTATCGTAAAGAAAGTGCCCAAAAAATCTGATATTTGAATGATTTAGTAGCTTTGCTCTGTCCCTCTGCAAGGAATTTGAGATCCGCTCAGCGTCAAGGCTCCGCCTTTGTATTTATTGTGTATAACTGCGGTAAAGAAGAGAGGATATAGAGTCTACGGTCAAAAATAAATAAAAATCAAGAGGCTTACGTGTCAAATGATTATTTTATTTTTTATATTAATTAAGATTTTAACGTTTTAGCTAAAAAAAAATATGTTATTCACGGAATACGATAGTCCTAGGAGGCATTTCCTTTTCGAGCATTTATCTATATTCAATTTTTAAATTTTATTTTGAAAAATGATATTTTCAATTATCAAATGGATGGTTGTTATAATTAAATGTTTTAATTTTAAATACGACTTTTATAAGAATATTTGAATATTAATTATTAAATAGTTAAAATCTTTTAAGCATATAATATTTTATAATCACACCATATTAATAATAAAAAAATAAAACAAACATACTACAAGAGAGTTTGTTACTTAAACTGGTAATGAATAAGTTCATTAACAGCTTAAGCTAAAAATTCAAAAATCAAAATTGATAATATAATATATTAATTTGTAAATTTTTGTATAATATGTTATATAAATTTAACTTTTTTTAGTACAATATATATTTTCTATCTAACATAATATTTTGATACATAAATTTGATATACGATGATGTCGTAGGCTGGACCAACTACCCCAGTGAGATAATATAATAGATTTCTTAAGTAATGCTAAGAGTTCGAATCTTGACAATTGTGAATAGAGTAAAATGGATTGAGATGGTCGTCATTACCTCTGCAGTACCCAATCTGGATTAGTCGATCAATAGATCGAATACCCATGGTTATACCCAAAAAAAGTGATGTGTGGATCTACGAGTTTGAATTAAACAAGAAAATGATATTTAATAACGGAGACATTTCTTTTTATTATTAAAGCCACTCGATATGTTTGTATCTCTATCAAATTTAGTTATCACAATGTCTAATATTTGTAATTTTTTTATATTAAAATATATTAAAATAAATTCAATTTAAATATAAAAATATATAATATTTACCAAATTCATATATCAAGTTAAATAATAAATCTACATATCACATAAAAATTAACGAAACTTAAATTTTTTATAGAAGCCGCTAATTTTATTAAAAATAGAAAACATTCAAATTACAATGGAGGTCTACAACCACAATCATAAACTAAACGTATAATAAAGATATTTTCTTAAACACGAGAAAATTAGTCATTTAAGATCACAAGAACCATTAAAGGAAAATATTAAAAACCTAACCAAATAAACTCGGATAAAAGGTAGGTACGAACAGATCTGATTGCATCGACAACGAACTACAAAAGGGGATGAAGCTATTGAAATACTATTGACAAATCACAAATCAGAATTAAGCGACGTGAAAATACTATCCACGAATGAAAATTTATCATCCAAATCCAATATGATAGTCCAAAGCAAGGAGGATCAACATGATAACAAATAAAACGTTATCTTGAT